ATTGTTCAACAACCAATCATTCGCTGAGAATTTCTTATGTGATAGCTGCTATGTTAGGAGCTGAGAATACAAATCTAAGCAAAAACATTCACAAGACTTGCTCTTATGAAGAGCTCATAAGGTAATGAAAGAGATATACAATAATCAAATAATTACACAAATAACTAAATAATTACAAACCATAATGCATGATATGAAAAAAAGAAACATAAAGCAGTGAGATTATATAACAGAGGAACCTCAACCCTATCTTCAATAACAAGGCAGATGACATGGAAACCAGTTGTGGTGATTGATGTCAGGACTAAAATTTATGAGTGAGTATATTTGTGAGGGAGGGTATGAAGAGTGTTCTAGAAAAAGTGAACAGCACATAGAAATGAAGTACAGAAATAATGGGGGAAAGATAGTACAAATTAAAGTTCAGAGATAAGCACAAAAGCCTTCTGCCATTATTATTCAAGTACCTGGCATGTACCAAGTACTAAAAATATGCATAGAATAGATTATGCAGGCTTCAGCCCATGAAGGTCCCTGCAGGGTTTTTGAAATATCTAGATCCTATCCTAAGAGATATTAGAAGTCATGGAAGGATTCTGAATGGGGGATAGCATAATCCGACTGGCAATTTGAAAAGATCATTCTTTTTTAAATATTTATTTAATTTTTTAGTTGTAGTTGGACACAAAGGTATTGTTCCTTTATTTTTTATTTATTTTTATGAGGATTGAACCTAGGGCCTCACAAGTGTTAGGCAAGCACTGTAACACTGAGCCATAACCCCAGCCCCCAAAATCATTCTTTTTTAAAAATATTTTTTATAGATGGACACAATCTCTTTAATTTATTTATTTATTTATTTATTTTTATGTGGTGCACTCTACTGCTGAGTTACAACCCCAGCCCTGAAAAGATCATTCTTGATGCAGTGTAGAGGACAGATTGGAAAAGTCATGAGTCACTGAGGAAAAGACCATTTCCAAGGTTTTTATAGTTTTTAAGTGAGAGAGGATTATAGGTTGAGTCAGGGAAGTAGCAGTGATTTAATTTGAGAGATATTTAAGAGGTAAATGGGAGAAAGATCCTACTTAGGACTCGAGAAAGATACGTGTTAGGTTGACAATGAGGTGAAGAATCATAGAGATCTTACTTTGGACATAAAGAAACACATCAACTTCCCCTAGATTCTGTTCATTTCCTATCCTTCCTTCTATGGATTCTAGGTCCCATTACCAGACTCAAAATTTCTGAATTATCCAAGATTCTCTTTTAGCCTTGTACCCAATCCTGCCCCTTACCCCATCCTAGTAACCCTTCATCTAGATGGATATTTCTAAAAGTTGTGTCCTAAAAGAGCCTCTAGGGAGTCCACAAAATGATCTAAAATGCAAGTTTTTCTTTTTTTTTTTATAGGCAAATAATACAAAATTCCAGACTTTTATTTTTTTTATGGTAACCAACTGAGTTATAAAGGGGTACTAAAATTTGTTAGTCATAAACTAAAATTAGCTTTTAACTGGAGTTCACAGAAGACTCTAATTTGGTTTTCTACTAAGAAGTCAGGCTGCCAGGCAATGTTTGGCAATGCTGCAAAGCTCCTCTTGCACATGTACACATGCAGCCAGTTGGCATTCTCGCAATTTTCAGGAAGGACACTTTGTTATTGGGGCATTACCAGTGATGTTTTGAGCTGGTCATGGTTTATGGTGCCTGACATTCATGCATTTTAATTCCAAATTATGATTCATGGAGCTCCATCATGACCAATTTAATATGCCATGGATTATTTGATTAACTCTGTGGAGTAGAGGGATGTACCTCTCTGACCTTATCTTCTGCCATGTTCCCCCTCCCTTCCCTGATGATCCAGAGCATGTGTAGTAGGCTTCCACCTCAGGAACTTTACACTTCCTATGCCATCTGTCTGGAATGCACCCCACCCACATCCCAATATCACATACCTAACTCTTTCGTTTCCTTCAGGTCTATGCTCAAATATCGTATCTGTGAAGACTTCTTTAACAACCCTATTTAAATTATTCTCATTCCCTGAACTTCCTATTATACTTCCCTGGTTTATTTTTCTCCTTGGTACTTAACACCATTTGATATACTATTGTATTATTTATTTACCAACAATTTACTTCCAATTAAAAGATAAGCTCCATGATAGCAAGGATTTTTTTTTCAGTCCTGGGAATTAAACCTAGGTCCTCATGCATGCTAAGCAAGCGCTCTACCATTGAGTTATATCCCCAGCTCTTTGCTATTTTTTATTTTGAGATACAATCTTGCTAAATTGTGCAAGCTGGCCTCAAACTTGTGATCCTCCTGTCTCAGTCTCCTGAGAACTGGGATTATGGGTATGCACCACCATGTCCCACAAGCAGAGAATTTTATTTGTTTTGTTTCTTACCATGTCACCCATACCTAAAACAGTATCTGGCACAGAGTAGGAACTCTATAAATTATTAAAGGAAATGAATATTTACATCATGAATATTTTTTAACCTCTTAGTCGCCAATGCCCAGCTCTTAAGCCAGGGATACATGAAATTTAAATTTGAATCATTCGTAGATCTACTACAAAGGCAATACAAATATAAACCCTGAAAAATATGCTTATACAGTGTGTTTCCTTGTTATCACTTCCTACTAGTTTCTCCTTTATTATTATCCCCCATCCCAGGCTCATTCACTCCTATCCTTCAAAAATACCCCAGATGAAAATTTCCAAAAAACAGCTCATGCATTCAGAATTCAAGTTAAATTAATTTCCCCAGAATTTAATATATTCCATGCATTGTGCTAGGTACAGGGGAATCAACAATGAACAAGAAGATACACGTGATATTTGCCAAGACAGATAGGTGCCATGACACCCTAACCTGTCTCCAGAAAAAAGAATTAATCTCTTGGAGGAGAATTTGAGGGCCAAGCGAGACCTGAAGGATGAACAGGAGATGAAGGGAAGATTTGGGACAAGATGGGGTGACAGAAAAGATTATACCAGGCAGGCAGTAGAAACAGCAGTTTTAAATGACAGGAAAAGAGAGTATAGATATTACTTTGAAGGCAGTAAGGGCAGTTCAGTATCTGGGTTGTGGAATTTTTACAGAGTAATGGTAAGGTCTGAAGTAGGATGAGTAGTAGACACATTATTATTATTATTATTATTATTATTATTTTTAATGTGGTGTTGAGGATCGAACCTAGCACCTTATGCATGCTAGGTGAGCACTCTACCACTGAGCCACAACTCCAGCCCCATCAGGTTTCTCTTTTTATCTGCTATCACTTCTCTCTGCTCTCAATGTAACTAGTCTCTAATGTCTCCTTTAATGGGCTGGAGAAACCTGTCCCCAAGCTTGTTCAAACTGCAAGTTGCAAGGAAAAATTAATCTATGGTCACAAAAAGCCAATCAATGGTTACTTGGATAAAGAGGTTAAAGAGAACTAACTGGGATGAAGTACAAGGAACTTCTAGGAATAGAGGAAATATTCTTCATCTTGACTGGTAATTCATACATTATAACTTTGTCAAAACTTGAAACATGTCAAACTAACATGGTTCATTTTATTGTATGTAACCAGAACTCAATAATGTCAAGTTAAAAACAAACTACCTATAAATGAGGGATCATATGGCCCAAGCACAGTACATGAGCTTCAAAGCACAGCTCAACCTCAACATAAAACTAGGGCACAGCCCAACAGGAATAGTTACCTTCCATGGCTACAGAGATCTAAGAAAGATAGGTCATCTGCCACAGAAGGCCATGTAAAAGTAGAGGAGTCGGGCTGGGATTGTGGCTCAGTGGCAGAGCACTTGCCTTGAATATATGAGGCACTAGGTTTGATCCTCAGCACCACATAAAAATAAATAAATAAAGGTATTGTATCCATCTAAAACTAAAAAATATATATTTTTTAAAAAAGCAGAGGAGTCAACATTATATACAAGCAGCCATATCAAAATATATAAAATCATAAATATCATGGACACACACAGATTTACTCTTCAAACCTCAATATACCTGGGCTTCAGAGTAGTAAATTTAGAATAAATTAATAGAAGTTCTGCTTTACAGAGCTGGAACTGCATGTTAGCCTCAGAGTGGTAAATCCTAAAGGATTTAGAAAAGTAATTTCTTAAGGACTGAGTGAATGCGTCCTTTATACCTCAGAGGGTTCTTGGAGAAGCCAGAATTACTTAACTTCTGTGGTAATGCTGGGAAAAAAAGAAAGAATCCTCTGCTCAGGCTAAGGGGAGAGGTGACTCAATTTTCCTGTGAGAAGAGATGACATCTGGCCAAATGGGAACAAGGACATAATGTCTACATGGGTTGAATGAGTTACTGGAGCGGACCAGACTCATAGGGAAGAAAGACATGTGCAAAGGGTGGTGTGGGAGCAGGATGGGAAAAGGGCCTCCTCTTTCTCTCTGTTTGACCTCTCTCTCCTCACAAGTCTTTTAGCACAGAAAATCTAAGCCAAACTCCTGTGTATAATATTCTGAGTCTCTTGTTCCATGTCTCTTTCATCCCCTCTGTGGGCTCCCTCATAGCAAGGTCTGTGTCCCCACCTATCCCAGTTGCTGGGAACTCAGTAGAGTTGGCCAAATAATTCTTTTGGGACAAAAGTGTGGGGCGATGAGGAAGGGATTGGTGGAAGTGGAGGTAAGAGTGCCAAGTAGGACAGACTGGTCAAGATGAGTATGTGCAATGAGTGGGGTGAGATCAGAATGGTGAGGGAGACAGGTAAGAAAGAGGTAAAAAACAGCTTTTGAGGGGGGTGGTTAGGAAAGGAGAATAGGATTAGTGAGAGAGAACAGGACAAAGTCAGAGGTCTTTGAGAGTACAGGCCAGGAGTCACCAGCGAGAAAAGGTTAAGGGTCAACAGATGAAAGAAGATTAAGGATCGGTGGAAGAGGTAGCATCAGGTCACTGACGGCAAAGGTCAGAGGCCATCAGGAGAGAGCAGGTCATGATATGCATTACCGATTTACGAGGCTGTTTCGGGGGCATCTCCGCAGAAGTTAAGAAGCACCTCAACCCCTGGAAAGTCTAGTAAACGCTTTCTCGCCTAAGAACAGAAAATTTGTCCTTCTCCTTGACCACACACAGGAAATCCTAACTTTCTTCCACTTCAATTCCTAGTTGTAGGGTTTCTTTGGGGACAGCTGTCGTCGTGGGTACCCGCGTCCTTGTAGGATAGGCTCCTCCCTGACGCGGTTACCCAGCAACCGACCGGCAGCTAAGGCGCAGGCGCCTCTGGCGCCCCCTCCCGGTACGGAGAGAAGGCGGGGCCGGGCAAGCGGGGATCCTCTGGCTCCACTAAGCTCCTCCCTCTCAGGAATAATACTTAGGGAGGCCAGGCGCATTCGGAACTCCCGCATGTGGGAGGGCTAGGGCGCCCAGACACCGCCTCCTCATGAATAATGTAGGATCCGGGCGGTGTCCCGGACCCGGAAGTGGAGTTGCCGAGTCACCGCAGTGGCTGAGCTGCTGACAGGAGGCGGCGGCGGAGGAGGAGGAGAGGCCAGACTTGCGGCTCCGTAGGGCCACAGCCGCGGTAGCGCTAGGCAAGCCCACGGAGCCACGCCGGCCTCAGCCCGCCCACGAACCTCTCGCTCACTGTCCACCCTTCTATCCACCTGGCCGCCTGCCCGCCCGACTCATCCGGGGCGGCCTAGTCTGCACCACCCGCCGGGCTCCTGGGGCCGCCGCCCCGCGCGGTCCCGTCGGCATCCCTGGCCGCGCCCGGCCCCTGGCCAGCTCGCCCGCCGGCACCATGATGGAGGAGATCGACCGGTTCCAGGTGCCCACCGCGCACTCGGAGATGCAACCGCTGGTGAGGGGGCGGGCAGCGAGCAGGCCAGGGCCGGGAGGAGGCGCCACCTGAGGGGGTGGGAGGGAATCAGTCTGTGGGGATTGTTCTGAGGGGAGTCATTAAATAGGGCAAAGGGCCCTGAAAACGCATTGCCGCTGGAGCGAGACTTACCGGACAAGAAAACGGGAGAATAGCAGGGTGTGGGAGCGAAGGGACCTGCACGGGTGGAGGGCAACCTCGGCGGAGGCGGAACGCCGTCGGATGGAACAGAGCAGGGCACAATGGTGCACACCGCTATTGGAGGCCCATAGAGGAAGATAGCAAGGGAACTGTCATGGAGCACCGCGGGCGCTAGGCCCAGGGGGCTGAGATTGAAGGTGGATAGGCCCTTAGCCCTAGAGGCCTGTGATGCTTAGGGAGGGGGAGGGAGCTGTCAAACAAACTAAGAGACTGGGACTAGGCTTTTAGAAGAGGAGGGGCCTGCCCGCCAGTCCGCTGAATGAGGTTAGGAACGCTGGGCCACGGTCTGGGACCGGTGGGGGCAGGGAGTCGGTGCAGGACCTGGGAAATCAGTTCTTTTCCTGAGAAGAGCGCAGGCAGGCCAGGCTCGGGGATCGGAACCAGGAAGGAGAGTGTGCGGCGCTGAGATCGAGATCAAGGGTACTGAAGATAGCGCTCTGGTACCGATGGGAGAGAAGGTGGGGCTGCGCTGAAGCGGTTTGTGCCCACTGGTTTGCAAGAGCCCCAGTCATCCTAGGCCTACGTGCTTGGAGTCTTTGCTGGGAGCGGATCCCGCCGCGGGTTCGCGGTCCCGGAGTCAGGGAGGAATGATGTCATCGCTGCCGGCGCCGATGGGATTGAAGGGGCGGGTGACGCGGGTTTACGAAGGCCAGGCCTAAAGGAGACCATGCCTGATGGCCATTGCCCTGGAATCTAGCGGACTGACCTCTCTGTCCGGCTACCGAATAGCAAGCGCAGAGGCCTAGTCAGCTGGTCTAGAGAGAGGGGAAGGGAGAGAACTCTTAGGCCTTGTTGGTTTTCTCCCCGTTGGAGCCCAAGCCATCTTGAGATGGAAGGAGGCAGGGCAAGCCAGAAACCTGAAGATGTGGGTGCCCTATTCTTTGCTCTCTGCTGGAGCTGAGCTGAGCTCTCCAAGTCCTGAAGCTCTGGGCCTCCCTAAGTCTCCTCCTCTGGTGGCTAGGAACAGGTTCTGCCCTTGAGCAGGCAGCCCTCTGGCTGATGAATGTATTTTATGGCTTCCTAGGCAAGTAACCTGCCCATTATCAATAGACAAGGTGGGCCTTGGCAGGGACCCATGACCACCTTGTGCCATGCCTTTTTGGGGAATGGTAGAGAGAATTATTAGTGGCCACCAAATGACTGGATGTGAATGAAAATAAGTGACTTTTTCCCCCTTTTGTGATGACTTGGTTCTAGATGCCAAAACAGAGAAGCTTTATAGAAGTGTACAATTTTAAACTAAGGAAAGTAAAGAGATGGTGCAGGACATTTTCGTAGCCTGATGCCACTAGTGAATTATGTTGGAGCCAGAAAAGGAGGGAGTTTGTATCATGAACTTGAAGAACTTTGGATTGGTTTAGGAAATTTTTCCTTGATGGGTTCTCTATCCAACCATTCTTGCTTGTCAGACTAGATTACCCTTCCAATTCTAAGCTTTTAACCAAGAAACAAAAGGGAGGGAGAATGAAAGCGAGAGGTTCAAGTAAATCAGGAGAAGGAAGCAATGAGTTGGTTCTTGTCTTCCATTTGGGGTTCCTGAGAAGGAAGATAGTAACTGTACAAGGAAGGAGAAGAAGGAATAAGGCCACCAGAATCTCTCAGTTGTCCTTTGTGCCTTTATTATTGACTGAGATTTGTTGCTGTTTGTTTGTTTGTTTTTAGGTACTAGGGATCAAACCCAGGGGTGCTTTACCACAGAGTTACATCCCCAGTCCTTTTTTTTTTTTTTTTTTTTTTTTTTTTTTAAAGACAGGGTCTCACTGTGTTGCTGAGGCTGTCCTCAAACTTGTGATCCTCCTGCCTCAGCCTCCTGAGTCTCTGGGATCATAGATGTGTGCCACTCTGCCTAGTGCCTGAAGTTCTTTTTTTTTTTTAAAGAGAGAGAGAGAGAGAGAGAATTTTTTTTTAATATTTATTTTTTAGTTTTTTCGGTGGACACAACATCTTTGTTTGTATGTGGTACTGAGGATCGAACCCGGGCCCACACATGCCAGGCAAGCGCGATACCGCTTGAGCCACATCCCTAGCCCCCCTGAAGTTCTTAATAGTAAGCTACTTCTGCTGTGTGAATCTGGATTAAAAGTATTTGTGGCAAGGAGGTACTTATTAGAATAACTGTAGCTATTGGCAGACCCTTTTCTTGAAGACTAAAGTAGCCCTTGTCTGCAAAAGAGTATTTTATTGAGGTTGAGTGAGTCTTATAGAAATAACAATATAGCCCTCCCCCATTTGGAGGTCATAAACATTGCCCAGCCTCTTGACCTCTGTCCCCAGATTATTTCTGTATTTTGTTGAGACCAGCAGAGTCTTATATGCATTTCCCCATACAAGACTCTGCTGGTCTCAACAAAATACAGGAGCCTTCATTTGGAGCATTAACAATCAAGAAGATATCACAGCGGTAAAATGCAGAAGAGAGAGCAAAAATGGTTCTTTAGGGGTACTCAGGTAGACTATAAAATTAGAGTTCCAGGCTTGGATTTAGCTGTGATCTCTTTTATTTATTACCATTATTTATGGAGACCTCTAGGAAGTCTCCTTTTCCATTTGTGAAAATGAAGACAAATTATGCATTTGAAATTTAAACAGTAGCTCTCCACTCTCTCTTCCAAAGTATATCATAGAACCTGGTTTCATTGATTCAGCAAGTGATTTACTAAATAATTATTGGGCATCTGCCCTGTTTCAAACACTACATTAGATATCAGGGAATGGTTAGCAACACAGACACAGATATGGCCCTTTCCTCCTGGAGCTCACAGTTTGGTGAAGTTTTATTTCTCTTGTTCACTTTCTGAACCGGGCACAGTGGTGGCCCACACCTGTAATTCCAGTGGCTCAGGATGCTTAGACAGGACGATCATGAATTCAAAGCCAGCCTCAGCAAAGGTGAGGCATTAAGCAACTCAGTGAGACCCTGTTTCTAAATAAAATACAAAATAGGTCTGGGAATGTGGTTCAGTGGTTGAGTGCTACTGAGTTCAATCCCCAGAACCAAAAAAAACAAACAAACAAACAACAACAACAACAACAACAACAAAAACCACACTACTTTCTGAATGAGCTCCTCCTGAGGGAAAAGAGGGTGCTGCTTCTTTAATCCCAAAGGAAACAGGGCAATCTGGTGTCAACATCATTGCCTCTTTCAGGACCTTGAGTACCCAAAAGGCCAGTTATTTGGGCTCTTATCATCAAAACCTCCTCTACCCCAGAGTAGTGGGAAGAATCTAGAAGCCATTCCTTACTTGGAAAGATGAGCTGTAGGAGAAGGCATCATTTTTCCCCCTTTTCTTCTTTTACTTGAAAGAGAAACTCAGCTTGAGAAGGAGGCCTGGGGGAGTGGCAGGAGCTGAGCAAGAAGGAGCAACCAGGAGATCTGGGTGTTTCCAAGGTGCTAATTTAAGCATTAGCTCTCAGCTAGTGGGAGGAAGAGGAAGAGATCCCTGCCCTGTTGTTGCACAGCTGCCCAGAGTCTCCTGCCTTGGGCTGGATCTTGCCTGAAAGGAGTGGCTTCCCTCCTTTCCCCATCACACCAATTATTTAATTGGTCAGGCTGCATCTCAGCAGCTGAACCAGGCCTTGGCTTATTCTTGAGCTCCCCAGGGTCTCTTCCTATCTCCTTATGAAAGAAATGAGAGCTCCTCTTGAAGATCTTATTCCCTGGGATCCACTCCTGCTGTGTCTGTCTCCCAGGCAATCCTGAGTATGTCTGAGTATAGATTCTCTCCAAGAAACTTTGGAATGGCTTAGTATGTAAGCTCTGAGCCATATACTGCCACTGAACTAGGGAAACTCCTAACTGCCTTCTCTTGAACAATTAGGATGAGTTTGGGCCATTGTTTGTAGGAGTGGTAGGCATAGGCTCTCTGGTCCTGTTTGTCTGCTGAGTCTGATGCTATAGCCGCAAAGTCTGTCATCAGCTGTAGTTGGGAGGAAGAGATTTGTTGCAAGAAAAACAAATGGAGCCTTTAAGTACTTAATTGTGTCAGGCAACACCCTGCTGATGCTTTTAGAGGCCAAAGATACTTAAAGAATGGCATATGGCAACAGATTGGATCCTGCACTCTTGCAAGAAATGCTTGTCTGGCCTCACTGAAACTAGATTATCCTTTAACTCATTTGTTTAGTTCATGATTATTTGCTGTGTCTCTACTTAGTTCCAGATAATTTAAAGATACCAAAACAAATCAGATCTCTCCAGTGGAAGCCAGAAGGATGAATGGGCTCAAAATGTGATAGGAAAGTTTTATACAAGTCAGAAAAGGGTGGAGATGGAATGGAAGGTGTTCCCAAGAAAGGTGACAACTCCCTTAGAAAGTGAAGAATGCTGAGGTTCTGCCTTGTTACTACAGGAGCTTGGCAAGGAGTTTCAGGCTGTATTCCCTCTGACACTGAGGGATGGGGATGGTCAGGATTACTGTGCAGTAAGTGGCCCATAGAAGCTTCTGAAAGTGCCAGGGAGCACATTATAAAGACAGCAGTAGCCACTATGGAAAATTGACCTACAGGTATTCTATGGTCTGGGCACCTTTATGTTATTCCTTATAGTCAGTTGATTTTTCAGTTTAAGAGTGGATTCTCCTAGTGGGTCCATATGGCTCATGGCCCAACAGTATTTGTCAGGTTTCTGGAAAGAAGACACCCTTCCCTATCTTCCTCTATTGCAAAATGAGGCTTGCTTAGGCCCTCAGCCCCTTACCATTTGTCTTTCATCCAACAAACGCTAAGTGAGAACCTGCTTTCTGCTAGGTATTATCCAGGGCACAATGACACAGAAACTT